CTTCCAAGCAGTAAATAATCCAATCTGTCTCCTTCTCCAGTCTTCCATACACTAAGAAGAATCGCCAATAAAGGTAAGTGTTATTCTGTAAATGTTTCATTCATCATGTGCCATTGTATTGTTTATGTACTACATCTATATTTCATGTAAAAATTTTTTTTGTTTTAATACTTCTGGGTGTCAGGAACGGATTAATTGCATTTACATTATTTCTAAAGGGGAAAATTTATTTGAAAATCGTGTATTTCGATAATAGTCCCACTTCCAGGAACAGATTATGGACGATTATTGAGGGACCACTGTATTCTTAGTACGTACGTATTATAATTATTATCATTATTAACCCTTTGACTGTTTCGGTTGTATATATACAGTGGACCCCCGCATAACGATGGCATCGCATAGCGATTTTTCCGCATAACGATTACTTTTATCGCAAAATTTTTGCCGCGCATACCGATTAAAAACCCGCATACCGATTTTCGTCCGAGACGCGTCCAATGTGCCCTCAGCCAGCCTCACATGTGCCGCTCCGTCCCATTGTTTACCAGCCAGCCTCCGCGGTAACATCCAAGCATACACTCGGAATATTTCGTATTATTACAGTATTTTCGGTGCTGTTTCTGGAAAATAAGTGACCATGGGCCCCAAGAAAGCTTCTAGTGCCAACCCTACACCTCAAAGGGTAAGAATTACTATAGAGATGAAGAAAGAGATAATTGATAAGTATGAAAGTGGAGTGCGTATAGCCGACCTAGTCAAGCTGTACAAGAAACCCCAATCAACCATCGCTACTATTGTGGGCACCAGAAAGACAATCAAGGAAGCTGTTCTTGCCAAAGGTTCAACTGTGTTTTCGAAACAAAGATCGCAATTGATGGAAGATGTTGAGACTCTTATTGGTGTGGATAAATGAAAAACAGATAGCAGGAGATAGCGTCTCTCAAGCGATCATATGTGAAAAGGCTAGGAAGTTGCATGAGGATTTAATTAAAAAAATGCCTGCAACTAGTGATGATGTGAGTGAATTTAAGGCCAGCAAAGGTTGGTTTGAGAGATTTAAGAAGCGTAGTGGCATCCATAGTGTGATAAGGCATGGTGAGGCTGCCAGTTCGGACCACAAAGCGGCTGAAAAATATGTGCAGGAATTCAAGGAGTACATAGAAACTGAAGGACTGAAACCTGAACAAGTGTTTAATTGTGATGAAACAGGCCTGTTCTGGAAAAATGCCAAGCAGGACCTACATTACTCAGGAGGAAAAGGCACTCCCAGGACATAACCCTATGAAAGACAGGCTTACTTTGTTGATGTGTGCCAATGCTACTGGTGATTGCAAAGTGAAGCCTTTATTAGTGTATCACTCTGAAACTCCCAGAGCGTTCAGGCAAAAGAATGTCCTCAAGGATAATTTGTGTGTGCTGTGGAGGGCAAACAGTAAGGCATGGGTCACTAGGGAATTTTTCTATAACTGGTTACACCATGCATTTGCCCCCAATGTGAAAAATTACCTAACTGAAAAGAAATTAGAACTTAAGTGCCTCCTGGTGTTAGACAATGCCCCTGGTCATCCTACAGACGTGGCAGAGCGACTTTATGGGGACATGAGCTTCATTAAGGTGAAGTTTTTGCCTCCTAATACCACTCCTCTCCTGCAGCCCATGGACCAGCAGGTTATTTCCAACTTCAAGAAACTGTACACAAAAGCTCTGTTTGAAAGGTGCTTTGTAATGACCTCAGAAACTCAACTGACTCTAAGAGAGTTTTGGAGAGATCACTTTAATATCCTCAATTGTGTAAACCTTATAGGTAAGGCTTGGGAGGAAGTGACAAAGAGGACCTTGAACTCTGCTTGGAAGAAACTGTGGCCAGAATGTGTAGACAAAAGGGATTTTGAAGGGTTTGAGGCTAACCCTGAGAATCCTGTGCCAGTTGAGGAATCCATTGTGGCATTGGGAAAGTCCTTGGGGTTGGAGGTTAGTGGGGAGGATGTGGAAGAGTTGGTGGAGGAGGACAATGAAGAACTAACACTGATGAGCTGCTAGATCAACTTCAACAGCAAGAGGCCACACCTGAGGAAATTGCTTCGGAGGAGGGAAGAGAGAAATTGAAGAAGTTGCCTACTTCAAAGATTAAGGAAATCTGTGCAAAGTGGCTTGAAGTGCAAACCTTCATGGATGAAATCACCCTCACACAGCTATTGCAAGCCGTGCTGGTGATTATTACACTGACAATGTTGTGAAACACTTTAGGCAAGTCATAAAGGAACGAGAGGTACAGGCCACTATGGACAGATATCTTGTGCGAAAGAAGTCCAGTGACTCTGAAGCTGGCCCTAGTGGCATTAAAAGAAGAAGGGAAGTAACCCCAGAAAAGGACTTACTACCTCAAGTCCTAATGGAAGGGGATTCCCCTTCTAAACACTAACACACTCTCTCCCCTCCTCCCATCCCATCAATCATCACCAGATCTTCAATAAAAGTAAGTGTCATTTAATTGTGCATGCCTTTTTCAGTTTGTGTGTATTAAAATTAACATTTCATGTGGTAAAAAAAATTTTTTTTCATACTTTTGGGCGTCTTGCACGGATTAATTTTATTTCCATTATTTCTTATGGGGAAAATTCATTCGCATAACGATTATTTCGCATAACGATGAGCCCTCTTGCACGGATTAAAATCGTTAACCGGGGGTCCACTGTACATCTTTCGCGCCACTGTTTCGGACGTATTTATATGCGCAAATTCTAGCGGCTTCAAATCAAGCGGAAGAAAGCTGGTAGGCCTACATGTGAGAGAATGGGTCTGTGTGGTCAGTGTGCACCATATAAAAAAAATCCTGCAGCACGCAGTGCATAATGAGAGAGAAAAAAAAAAAAACGATCATTTTTTTGGATTAAAACGCCAACTTTGAGGTGCATTTTCGTATAGTATTTATTGTTGTACGTATTCTCATTTTCATGGTCCCCAAGTGATAAAATGGAAAACATATTACAGAAATAGAGATGAAAACGACCTTGAAATTGAGCTCAAAGTAGCGGAAATGTTCGATTTTTACTAATGTTCAGGAGTAAGCAAATCACACCAGACGTCCAATACACGTCAACTGGGGAGTCTAATATTCTTTCACTAGTGCACTGATATTATTTGTGCCATTTTTACAATAATGCAGTAGTCTGCATAACAGTAAATTTTGTATTTTTTGTATGAATAAAAAATTAAAATAGAAATCAACAGTAATATAAGAACGGCCTAGAGATGTGACTAACGAACAGAGGATATGTTATTTTAGTGCCAAGAATGTCTACATTGTTTATTCTGGACTATTTTGAAATTGGCATTTTTTTAATTTGCGTGAAATTGGCCAAACTGCCAATTTCTGATCACTTTATTGAGTAGTTTAAATCGGTAAATGGGCGGTTTCTTGTACTCAACTGACAGAAAAAATGGAGTTCTGAAGAAATAGCTATGAGTTTGGTCAACTGGAACAACGGAACTGGCCAAAAACAGGGCTCAAAGCCGGCGAAATTGCCGATGCGTATATGTCGCCGAGACCGCAAACTTCACGGGAGCGTAATTCCGTGAGTTTTTGACCAAATTTCGTACTTTTGGTGTCATTACCATCAGGAAAAAAATCTCTATCATTTCACAAGAAAAAATATTTTTTTTCTAAAATATTGTGACATAGAATGACAGTTTCAGAAAGGGGCTTGCGACAGTCAAAGGGTTAATACATACGTATTATAATTATTATTAATTTGGGGAACTGGAGCACAGATCCAATTCCCTAGATCAAGAGCCCATCACCAAGTACATACTACTACTAATAATAATTATTATAACAATAATAATAACAACAACAACAGTAAGGGGAAACTTCTAAAGGCTGCCAATAGTTGGCACCATCATCAACAAAACATTGGTGACCACTACTGGTACACTTTTCACCTGTCTAGACTTAGTAGTCTATTGGTATTAGGTTAAGTCTCCCCAAAATGCCTTGGCATGATAGCGGCTTTCTTTGCTCCAATCATATTATGATATGTAAATACACATTGTAACCTTAGCAAATTAATTTTTTTTTTTTAACAAGTCGGCTGTCTCCCACCGAGGCAGGGTGACCCAAAAAGAAAGAAAATCCCCAAAAAGAAAATACTTTCATCATCATTCAACTCTTTCACCTCACTCACACATAATCACTTTTTCCAGAGGTGCTCAGAACACAACAGCTTAGAGGCATATACTTATAAAGAAATAAATATTTTATTTATTTATTTAGTTATTTAAGGAACCTCACTTGAGGGGGAAGTTGCATCCTGAAATTTCGTTCGTATCCAGAAGTAAAAAATTGACTGAACGACGGTTCGTATCCTGAAAAATTCGCATGGTGGGGCATTCGTAAGCCAAGGTTCCACTGTATAACTAAAGAAAAATATTAAATTTGTATTCAAGAAATGTTGAATGTACTATTCTCCTTGTGTATTTATGGACAAGCACCAGAATCCAGCCCAAGGCTGGGCTCCGGGAGTAGAAAAACTCTTGGAAACTCATCAAATGAGTATCAAACCTATATATACAGTAAACAGATTGATAGATCGAATACTTAAACTTTAGTATATGGTTGTTACACACAGTTTTGTATATCCTCTTAGCAGAGACACAACTATAATTAACTACTACACTAAATTATAAATATTTATGAGTGTTCATTTGTGCACATGTACATACAGTGCTTCTTTATCTTGTATAAACTGGTAATGCATATAAAAAATCCAGGAAAGCCTATACAATTACATACAATATCATAAGGGAGAGTCATGGGAAAAATACAATTCACTGTCAAACAGGGTTAGTAGTACATACACACAATTCTGTTCTTTTATCATACAAGGCTCTAACCTTTTCTAATAATTTTTTCAAGCATTATGAATTAAAAATGCCAAGAAAATGCCTTTCAGAATTTCATGAAATTCACAACAAACCAAGTACCGTACAATACTTACGCAGTAGGACAAATGAACTTTATGTGTGGTGAGCCAATAGCAGCCATTGCGCTTGCCCATCCATGACTGTAAAAAAAAAAAAAATATAGCACATGAAAACATGGTAAACTGAGCCACATCGTGACATTCAAGATACAAGATGGAAGCTATTTCCATTCTTTGTACTTATCACTATCACTAACCCCAATCTCTGAAGTACGTACTATACAGAGGAACCTAAAAAATCGAACGTATCACATATCGAACGTTTCGAAAATAGGACCATTTTTTCGGACAGTGTCCCTATTATCGAACACGCCCCTATTTTCGGACTGCCAGGTACGGGACCTGTCTGCCGGCCCGCTCTGTCCGCGTCCCCGCGCAGGCGCCATGAGCAGTCTAGCTTTGTTTATGCTTGAGTGAACACTAACCTGCGCTCTCATTCACGCATTTTACGATTATTTTGTTGTGTTTAGTGCTTGTGGGACTGTGAAATAAGCTGCCATGGGCCCAAAGAAACTTGCTAGTGGTACCCCTGTGGTAAAGAAAGTGAGAAACACCATAGATGTGAAGAAGGAAATAACACAGAAGTATGAGAGTGGTGTGAGACTTGTTGAGCTTGCCAGGATGTATGGGAAAAACAAGTCGACCATCGGTTCTATCCTGTCAAAGAAAGAACAAATCAAGGAAGCTGATGTTGCGAAAGGTGTTAATATAGGGAGTGGATGAGGTGCCTTCTTCAAAGATTAAGGAGATCTGTGCCAAGTGGAATGATGTCCAAATGTTTGTGCAGAAGTACCACCCTGAGCAAGCTGAAACAAGCCATCTTTGCAACAAGTTCAGTGACAGAACCATGTCCCATTTTAGGGAAATTTTAAAGAGGCACCAAAAACAGAGGACTGTGGACAGTTATTTTGTGAGACAGGGGTCCAGTGACTCTCAAGCTGGCCCTAGTGGCATTAAAAGACAGAGAAGGGAAGTAACCCCAGAGAGGGCTTTACCTGAAGTCCTCGTGGAGGGGGATCCTCCTTCCAAACACTAACCCCAGCTCCCTCTCTCCCCCTCCCTATCTTCCAGATGCCATCACCAATCTTCAATAAAGGTAAGTAAAAATGTTATTTTACATGTATTACTATACATAATTAAAAACTATAGTATCTGTTGTATGTAAAACTGTAATTAATCTCTATAAAATGTATTTTTTGTGTGAATATTTTTGGGTTTCTGGAACTGATTAATTGTATTTCCATTATTTCTTATGGGAAATATTGCTTCGAATTTCAGACTTTTCGAATTTAGAACTAGCTTCTGGAACGGATTAAGTTTGATTTTTGAGGTTCCAATGTACCATATACACTATCATCAAATCACTCACACTTTCCCCAGACATCTTCAAAATATCACCCCTAATACCTTTGATATATACTTTTGAAGTCTTTCAAAATTTCTTCTATTCTTGCAGTCTGGTCCTGGGCAAGGTTAGTCTTGTGCTTCCCTGATCAACCAGGTTGATACTTTCAGTGACCCACATTCACAGTTGGGTTATCTGGCACTTGGTGGAGGTACATGTCCAGTTTCCTCTCCAAGACTTTTACAGTTATTTTGGCAGTGTATTTATTATATAGAGGTAAATGTTGGTGTAGAAGGAAGGTATTTTGGTATATTATTAAGAAAGAGAGAACTGCAAAACAGGCAGGAAAGTTGTTTACAATTGTGTTACAACAATTATACAAGTCAAGAAAGAGAAATTCTGAATTTACTGTAGAATGAAAATACAAGTACGTAATTCGCTTACCCAGTGTCACCAAGACCATGAAGGAAGATCACCTAAAAAACAAAGATACAAAATTAATATCAATACCAAAATACGTACAGAACAACACTATTAATAAGTAATATTCAAAAAGAGACATTATAATGTTTTGTAAGGCTATGTAGTTTTGCAAACTCTTATTAACTGCTGTAGCTAGAAATTAAATGTATATTTTAATTGTTATATTTATTATGCATTACACCATATCTGATATAGGATAGTGCATCAGCAGGAGTGTCTGAATCATAGATGTTTTCTCTATGTGGAAGAACAATTCCAGATATTTTCTAAATGATCTGCCTTGGGTAATGATTAGTAGTGATACTGTACATCCATTTGAGATTTGTGCAGGATAGCCAGCCCTTCTTGGGAATTTCCCAACATTCATACGGTGTAAAATACTGCATATCAGTAACCGAGGCATTAGCTGATATAAGGGAAACATCAGCATCCAAATTTCAGAAAAAAAAAAAAAAAAAACCTGTGTACACAAAAATGTCCATAACTGAGAAAACAGATTTCTTTTTAAATATTAAGGTATGGTTTGACACATAGTACACAACATTTTAAGGCAATTTGAACTAAAGTTCAGATGTTGCCATCATCCTATACAACAAGAAGTTGAATGAAGTCAAAAGTTAGCATGGGAAGGGAATAAGAGTTTGATAATGAAGTAGTTTGGGTAGGAAAGGGAAAAAAGAATTTAAAGTGGAAAATTCTATTATGTAAGAAGGGGAAGGGGAGGAGGAGTTTGCTTAAGATGTGTTACAAATTTATGGCAGCAATACCAAAAGGCTGTGCAGCACAAAACTGTATCATAAAAAGTGTCACACTCAGGAACACTAACCATTCACTTGTCAGCTAAGAGTACACAGTTTTCCTGAATTACATTTTACAAGGCCTGGTCTCAAACCGGGCCACGGGGCGTTGACGCCTGAAACCCTCTCCAGATATACCCTCCCTGCTAAGCAACAGTTCCCCTAAACTACATTACACTCTGCACTAAAAACTATTACATATACACATGCAAAAAGATTGTTACCTGCACAAACTTGGTTAGGACAGTTAAGATGTACAGAAGATAAGCATTATGAGAAGCTGCACAGTGGCACCAGCATATACACACAGGCTGCACAGTGGAACACACACACACACACACACACACACACACACACACACACACACACACACACACACACACACACACACACACACACACACACACACACACACACACACACACACATTGTTCAGGACCCTGTACACCGTGTACGTTAGGCCCATATTGGAGTATGCAGCACCAGTTTGGAACCCACACATAGCCAACCACATAAAGAAACTAGAGAAAGTGCAAAGGTTTGCAACAAGACTAGTCCCAGAATGAAGAGGTATGTCCAACGAGGAGAGGTTAAGGGAAATCAACCTGACGACACTGGAGGACAGGAGAGATAGGGGAGACATGATAATTATTATTATATTTATTTTTTATCACACTGGCCGATTCCCACCAAGGCAGGGTGGCCCGAAAAAGAAAAACTTTCACCATCATTCACTCCATCACTGTCTTGCCAGAAGGGTGCTTTACACTACAGTTTTTAAACTGCAACATTAACACCCCTCCTTCAGAGTGCAGGCACTCTACTTCCCATCTCCAGGACTCAAGTCCGGCCTGCCGGTTTCCCTGAACCCCTTCATAAATGTTACTTTGCTCACACTCCAACAGCACGTCAAGTATTAAAAACCATTTGTCTCCATTCACTCCTATCAAACACGCTCACGCATGCCTGCTGGAAGTCCAAGTCCCTCGCACACAAAACCTCCTTTACCCCCTCCCTCCAACCTTTCCTAGGCCGACCCCTACCCTGCCTTCCTTCCACTACAGACTGATACACTCTTGAAGTCATTCTGTCTCGCTCCATTCTCTCTACATGTCCGAACCACCTCAACAACCCTTCCTCAGCCCTCTGGACAACAGTTTTTGTAATCCCGCACCTCCTCCTAACTTCCAAACTACGAATTCTCTGCATTTTATTCACACCACACATTGCCCTCAGACATGACATCTCCACTGCCTCCAGCCTTCTCCTCGCTGCAACATTCATCACCCATGCTTCACACCCATATAAGAGCGTTGGTAAAACTATACTCTCATACATTCCCCTCTTTGCCTCCAAGGACAAAGTTCTTTGTCTCCACAGACTCCTAAGTGCACCACTCACCCTTTTCCCCTCATCAATTCTATGATTTACCTCATCTTTCATAGACCCATCCGCTGACACGTCCACTCCCAAATATCTGAATACATTCACCTCCTCCATACTCTCTCCCTCCAATCTGATATCCAATCTTTCATCACCTAATCTTTTTGTTATCCTCATAACCTTACTCTTTCCTGTATTCACTTTTAATTTTCTCCTTTTGCATACCCTACAAAATTCATCCACCAATCTCTGCAACTTCTCTTCAGAAATCTCCCAAGAGCACAGTGTCATCAGCAAAGAGCAACTGTGACAACTCCCACTTTATGTGTGATTCTTTATCTTTTAACTCCACGCCTCTTGCCAATACCCTCGCATTTACCTCTCTTACAACCCCATCTATAAATATATTAAAACAACCACGGTGACATCACACATCCTTGTCTGAGGCCTACTTTTACTGGGAAATAATTTCCCTCTTTCCTACATACTCTAACTTGAGCCTCACTATCCTCGTAAAAACTCTTCACTGCTTTCAGTAACCTACCTCCTACACCATACACCTGCAACATCTGCCACATTGCCCCCCTATCCACCCTGTCATACGCCTTTTCCAAATCCATAAATGCCACAAAGACCTCTTTAGCCTTATCTAAATACTGTTCACTTATGTGTTTCACTGTAAACACCTGGTCCACACACCCCCTACCTTTCCTAAAGCCTCCTTGTTCATCTGCTATCCTATTCTCCGTCTTACTCTTAATTCTTTCAATAATAACTCTACCATACACTTTACCAGGTATACTCAACAGACTTATTCCCCTATAATTTTTGCACTCTCTTTTGTCCCCTTTGCCTTTATACAAAGGAACTATGCATGCTCTCTGCCAATCCCTAGGTACCTTACCTTCTTCCATACATTTATTAAATAATTGCACCAACCACTCCAAAACTACATCCCCACCTGCTTTTAACATTTCTATCTTTATCCCATCAATCCCAGCTGCCTTACCCCCTTTCATTTTACCTACTGCCTCACGAACTTCCCCCACACTCACAACTGGCTCTTCCTCACACCTACAAGATGTTATTCCTCCTTGCCCTATACACGAAATCACAGCTTCCCTATCTTCATCAACATTTAACAATTCCTTGAAATATTCCCTCCATCTTCCCAATACCACTAACTCTCCATTTAATAACTCTCCTCTCCTATTTTTAACTGACAAATCCATTTTTTCTCTAGGCTTCCTTAACTTGTTAATCTCACTCCAAAACTTTTTCTTATTTTCAACAAAATTTGTTGATAACATCTCACCCACTCTCTCATTTGCTCTCTTTTTACATTGCTTCACCACTATCTTAACCTCTCTCTTTTTCTCCATATACTCTTCCCTCCTTGCATCACTTCTACTTTGTAAAAACTTCTCATATGCTAACTTTTTCTCCCTTACTACTCTCTTTACATCATCATTCCACCAATCGCTCCTCTTCCCTCCCGCACCCACCTTCCTGTAACCACAAACTTCTGCTGAACACTCCAACACTACATTTTTAAACCTACCCCATACCTCTTCGATCCCATTGCCTATGCTCTCATTAGCCCAACTATCCTCCAATAGCTGTTTATATCTTACCATAACTGCCTCCTCTTTTAGTTTATAAACCTTCACCTCTCTCTTCCCTGATGCTTCTATTCTCCTTGTATCCCATCTACCTTTTACTCTCAGTGTAGCTACAACTAGAAAGTGATCTGATATATCTGTGGCCCCTCTATAAACATGATAATGACATACAAAATACTGAGAGGAATTGACAAGGTGGACAAAGACAGGATGTTCCAGAGATGGGACACAGCAACAAGGGGACACAGTTGGAAGTTGAAGACACAGATGAATCACAGGGATGTTAGGAAGTACTTCTTCAGCCACAGAGTAGTCAGGAAGTGGAATAGTTTGGGAAGCAATGTAGTGGAGGCAGGATCCATACATAGCTTTAAGCAGAGGTATGATAAAGGTCACGGTTCAGGGAGAGTGACCTAGTAGCGACAAGTGAAGAGGCGGGGCAAGGAATTTGGACTCAACCCCTGCAACCTCAACTAGGTGAGTACACACACACACGATGTGCAGTGGCATCACCACATACACCCAAGTGTCCTGTGGCTTGACAGGCAACACTTGCCTCACATAATGAGTATCTGTAGTTCAATCCCAGCATGGGTAGTAATGTTTGGCAAGTTTCCTTACACTTACTGTCCCTGTTTGCCTAGCAGTAAGTAGGTACTTGGGTGTTAATTGACTGATGTGGGTTGCATCCTGGGGGACAAGAAATGAAGGACCACTGATGCACCAACTTTCTTGGGTTATTCTGGATGGCTAACACTCAGGGTTAAAAATTCAAACAAATCTTATCTTTTCACTCTGAATTCATGATCTTGCACAGTATTCTAAGTGACAATTCTTGTTGGAAAAGGAAGGCCAAACACTGAAGACGTGCCAAACTCAAATCTGTTCTTTAATAATCTGGGCTTCTAATTTTATGGTGTCCCATGGCTCAGTTGTTAGCATACTCAGCTCATATAGTGAGGGGTCCATGGTTTGATCATCTGCTGCCCCTGTTAGCCCAGCAGTAAATACCTTGGTGTTAGTCAACTGTTGTGGGTCACATCCCGCAGGGTGGTAATAGACCTTAGAGGGCTGGGCTTTTAAATAAGCTAAGGAAGGATAACTTGTAGCTTGTAAAACTGAGGTGTAAAAAAAATGGTATGCGCTCTAGGAAGTCAAATAGGCAGAGCTCTGTTAGAGAACATGCAATATAGCAGTCTTCTCAGTTCTCACTTCATTATAATTATCACACAGTGTAATGTGTGTGAATTATGTAGGCTATCCCAAAAGAGTCATACAAAATGACTTATTACAAGGACCTCAATGGAAATATGTTAATATTTAAAGTCTAGCTGTAAGTTACATTAGAAATCTGTCCTGATTATAACTTTAAAAATTAAAACTCCTAACTAACACAAATGTGTGAAAATCAGTTAAAGGAGATACAACAGGAATAAAGTTAACCGAGTTGTTTACTTGAATATTTAAGAGAAGATCAGCTTACAATAATAGGTACACAAATACTAACTATACAAGAAATTACTCTCCTCCCTTTCTGTAGCCTCATTCATAAGGTACCTTTTAGCCCTCTTCCTGAACTGTCTCATGCTAAGTCAGGTTTGACATGTGCAAGCAATCCATTCCAGTCTTTTATTGCTGTATAGTAAAAGGTGTTTGAGGCCTGATCACCTACTACAAAATTGTGTTTACTCTCCCTAGTACCAAACTAGTTTTGGTTCCTAATACTAACAAACTTGACAGCAAGACATTCTGGTCACTGCTTGTGAGCAATTTTGTAAACATGACTTAACTTTAGTGGCTTTACTGTCTTCAACATTCTGCATATCCAACTGTTGTAATTCATTTTGGTCTACATGCTCTTTCTTGGACCCAGGATGAAATCTCACCATTTTGTTCTGGGTGATTTGTAGTCTATCTTTTTTTTCTTGTTGGAGTACCATGAACAAGAATAATTTATATTACATTGTGTAAGAGCTAGATATAAGAGTCCCGTGAGCCTAAGTAGGTCGACACTGTGCCTGTTTATAAAGGAACTTTAGCCTGCATTTGCTTTTTTTTACTATACTGTTCTCTATCAATTTTCCTGACATGTTTGGGTCAAAGGGAATTCCCAGAAGATGCTGAAGATACTAAAGTGATGGGTTCCCCATTACAATGGATATTAAAAGTATTTACCATTTACAGTTTACTTTTCATGCTAAAGAGTACAGATTATGTTTTTCCGAGGTGTAGCAATAGTTATATCTTGTGGGTCTTAATCTGAAACTAGCAGAACGCAGTCATCTGCATACAACAGGCAATAGGCTGGTGGGAAGGGTGGCAAAAATTTAGTTTAAGAGGGGGGAGGGAGAAAGATTGGTGAAGAGGGGGGGAAAAAATTTGATGGGGAGGGGGGAGGAGGAAGGGAAAAGGTCCAAATCTGGTGGAGAATAAAGTTGGGCGGGGAATAAAATCAGGTGCAGAAGTTTTGTGATGGAGGAAGTTGAGTGGGGGAGAAAGTTTAGGGGGACAAAGCTCATTGGGGGAGAAGATTTTGCAAGCAGAATGAGCTTGGTGGGGGGGGAGGGGGAAGCAAGATCACTAACCACATGGATTCACAATGACTGCATAATCCAGAGCAGAATGGATTTAGAGTAGGTTGCTTCTGCTTCTCACAACTACGAGATGCACTTGCAAAATGTGGATGTAGTAGACACAGACTTTGCTAGAGTATTCAACAAATACGATCATGGCATAATAGCACACAAAATGAATGCAAAAGGAATTAATGGGAAAAATGGGCAGGTGGATTTTTTACTTTCTTACAATAAAACACAAAAAGGAAGAGAAAACAAAGTTAAGTCATAGGTTGTCACAGTGAAAAGCTCTGCTCCTGAAGACACAGTATATGCCCCATCCTTTTCCTCATCCTCATATGAAACAGAGAGGAACATAATCATGGAACTATCATTCTTTATAGATGGTAAATAACAAAAAGGCACAATACCCCTATGTGTGGGTTATTTGTTTTATAGATGGTACTACAATTTCTATTAGAATGGAGGACAATACATGTCTGAAAGCAGATGAAAATGAGGTCACCTTTTATTATACAGCAATAAAGAAGTGGAATGCATTGCAACATGTAAAAGCCTGTCCTAGCATGAGCCAGTTCAAGAAAAAGAGCTTAAAGGTACCTAATGAATGAAGCTACAGAAAGGGAGGAGAGTAATTAATTGTATAGTTAACATTCATGTACCCATTATTTTAAGATGATCCTTCTTTTTAATGTTCATATGAACAACTCAGTTAACTATATTTCTATTGTATCTCCTTTTATTGTAACTGATTTTCAAACAGAGTTACTTAGCAGTTTTAATTTTTAAAACTATGATCATGACTGATTTCCACAGCACCTTACAGCTAGGATTTAAATAAAATTTTACAATGATGAAAATAAAAATAAGTCACTTTGTCTGGCATTTTTGGGGGTTATCCTAGGTAATTATAGTCACCTAAATTTGTATAACTGTACCTAAATAAACTTACTTCTGGTGGCCCACAGAAAACAATGTAATATTCAATGAGGGCAAATTTTGATTACCTAGTTACAGAAAAATTGAGGAGAAATAATAACTAGAATGAAGCATATGACTAACTACCCACTATTATAATAGTAAAAAACTAATCTTAAGGACCTGAATGATAATGTCAAGGGATCTCACTTGTCCCAACCATGAGGAAAATAGGATGGATACCTAGAACTTTCAAAACATGATAATTCATGCCAGTGATGGTCCTCTTTTAGTCACTTGTTCTCTCTAGGCTGGAATATTTCTGTACTCTGTCAGTCACTTTTAAGACAGCTGAAAATGAAGATCTAGAGAATGTAGAGAGAACTTTCATGCATATATAAATTAAGTCTCGCATAAATTCCTGGGAACATCTGAAGTCCTTCAAACTATATATACTCCTTAGAATGCAGGTGGGAAAGTTATCTGCACTGGAAACTACTATAGGGGCTGATCCCAAATCTGCACACCAAAATAGATCCCTAAGAAACTAAGTCTTACCATACAGTGCAAAATACCCCAATAAAAAGCAGGAGTGAAATGAGTACATTAACACATTAAGTGCAATGGGCCTAATACTCAGCAATACCCTTCTTATGTTATGGAGACTACCAAAAGGTTGTGATTAGTTTTAGGTAATGTGATTAGATACAGGTGGATGCTAATTACGTACAGATAATGAGATGTTACTGTGTTAATTCTCTTTCTTTTAGGGTACTGTGACTAGTACAGTAACAATTATTGTGATATGTACTCGTTGGGAATAGTTATCCACTGTAATAATTAATATATACACTGGGTGCTAGTAGCTATATTGGTAGTGCCTCAGCTCACACGCTGAAGGCCAAGTCCTCCCCATCTCCACTCTAAAGAGTGGAGATGGGGTGGATATGTTCCCTTACACCTACTGCCTCTGTTCACCTAGCAACAAGCAGGTGCCTGAGTGTTAGTGACTTATGGGGTTGCATCCCAGTGGAAAGGGATGTACCCACAGTCAGTAGTCAGGCTTCAAACACATTTTACTGTACAGCTCATCCTATGACCGCCTGTCATAGCATGAGCCAGTTCAGAGCCAAAAGGCACCTAATGAATGTCACTACAGAAAGAGAGGAGAGTGATTTCTTGTATAGTTAAAATACATGTACCTATTACTGTGATCTAATCCTCTCTTTAATGTTAATGTAAATAACTCAGTTTACCTTAACCCTAGTAGTATATCTCTTTATTGTAATTGATTTTTTAATTACCTATTTTAACTTTTATGGTTTAAATAATAAGTTATTACAAGGACTGCAATGGAAAAAAAAAAGTCACTGACTTTTTTTTGGATTATCCTAGGTAAATTAAACATGTGCTATGTATGATAATTTATGCAACTATTAAAGGACCCCAATGGAAACAAGTCACTGACTTTTTTGGGTCATCCCAGGTTTTCTACACACAAGCTGCTATGTATGATAATCTATGTAAGTGTATTCGTGTATACCTGAATAAACTTTCTTAATTTGTGCGTACCTGTACCTGGATAAACTTAAAAGGATCAAAGAACCCCAATGGAAATGTCAGTGTCGTGACAAGTAATTTTATTGGGTTATCCTGGATTACTAACCCTCCAGGTTAAAAATATAATAATCTTTGTATTATAGGGACTAGTTACAGCTCCTGACTATTAAAAAACTGATTACACGTAATGTTAAAATTGATTAGCAACTGACTAGTTACAGGTAACATTAGTTACAGGCGTGATTAGTTAGTGTTAAAAGTTTAACACTGACATCAGTTACAAGTATAATTAGTTAAATACTGAGATCAAATATCGAAGATTAAAAGATTTTTTGATGTTTTGTTGTTGTTTATGAAGATGTCTGCTTGAGCCGCCTTCCATGCCACCCACACACCGCCTCTGAAACTCTCAAGTCTCAAACTCACTCCACCCTCCCGGTGGTTAATTAGGGATAGACATTTTCCCCCAGGTGCTAGGTGACTGCTGGGAGGGTGGTTGTACTCACGGTTGCTGTGTGCTTGGCCGTCGCGTTCACTACTACAGGAGCCGCCATCTTCGATGCGTTGCCACCCATACACTGGCGCCTCCGCCGCCGCCGCCGTCCTCTCCGCCGCCGCCGCCGCCGTCCTCTCCGCCGCCGCCGCCGCCGTCCTCTCCGCCGCCGCCGCCGTCCTCTCCGCCGCCGCCGCTAGCACAGGGTCGTCGCCCTCACGCGCCACTAGATCACACCTCTACCCAGCATGAATGAGGCGGCCGCAGTTTACGGTCGCCGCTGCTACAGACGACACACGTGCGGCGCGGCCAACTCGCGCACACCTCCGAGGCACACCTGGCGGGAACTGAAGGCCCAGGTTTTGGGCGGGGCCGGCCATCTTGGCCTACCTCAGACGGGGGGTCCTGGGCCCGAGATGCTAGGAGCCCGAGAGCCTTGGGGCCGGGTGGGGCAATGACCCGGGGAGAGTCCTGGGATAGTACATCATTATCGGTGAATTACACAACTTTTATTCACATACTTCAGCTAGGATAATATCATGTATCTACCTGGAGGGTGTTCCCGGGGTCAGCGCCCCTGCAGCCCAGTCCTTGATCAGGCCTCAAACGTTCCCAGTAATTAAGATGCCTGACTGAACTTATATTTGCATTGAAGGTTCTCTTCATTTTCTAGAGCTGTAATTTTACTTTCCTTGTAAGGGGCTGTCAGTGCACAAAAACAGTATTCCAGCCTGGAGAGAACAAGTGACTTAAATAGGATTACCATTGGAATGGCATCCCTTGTTTTGAACCTTCCCATTATCCAATATTGCATTTTCCTCGCAGATGTGATAGCAACACTATTGTGATCCTTCAAGTGAGATCCTCGGACATTATCATTCCCAACACCTTCACATCAGTTTTTCCTCCATTGTGTGGTTAATTTGTAGTATACTCCATTCTAGGTATTATTTCCTCAAACTTTCCCTAACGGAGTAACTGAAATTTATCCCCGATGAACATCATATTATTTTCTGTGGCCCACTGGAAAACTTGGTTTACATCACCTTAGAGATTTACCGTACCCTCAGTGGATGACTCTCATGCAGATTCTAGTATCATCTGAAAAAGAAGACATGGTGCCATGGTTTACATTTCTGCCTATGTCTGATATGAGAATAAGGAAGAGGAGAGAGGCGAGTACTATACCTTGTGGAACAGGGCTTTTCACTATGGCAGTCTCTAACTTAACTATTTACTATTATTCTTTGTGGTCTGTTGGTTAGAAAGTTGAAGATCCAACTGCCCACTTTTCCAGTTATTCCTTTAGCACACATTTTGTGCGTGCACATGTCAAAAGCTTTTGCAAAGTCTTCTTTCTGTTTCTCCTCTAGTGCATCCAAGACCCTGTCATAGTGGTCCATAAGAGCCAAGAGGCAGGAGCAATGTATACTATACCTTAAATAGACATGTTTGATGTGCATTTGATTCCCACTAAGAAGTAAGGTTGACAACCAGGCAGGGTGTTTGCCAAGACATTCTAGATAAGATGGCTATTAAGCCCTTAGCCTAATGATACAACTAGTGGGATGAATTTAGTTAAGAACATCTCTTAGTCAAGGACTTTGATTCTTTGATATAAGGACATAACCAAGTTGGTATCATTGCAAGAAATTACAGGCAGCACATTTTTTTTCTGTGCTCTGAGGTGGCCAGCAACTACCCAAGGGGCAGCCAGTTGCAGACAGGAGTTTACCAGGGCAAGGTCACAATGCTGAAATGTTAATATGCATGGATATAGCCGTAATGGCAGTATCCATTGGTATTAGCTCTAGTCTGTGGACCTGTATAATCACATACAACAATAGTGGTACTGATTCAACCACATAAAGATGGTAATTAAGGAGAGGACTGAGGCAGTGGTCACACCACACTGACAGGCAAACTCCATCACCCTGACAAGTAATTGTAGTGTTTGGGCAGAAAACAATGGTCTTTCTGGTTGTGAGTCAGCAGCGGGTCACAAATTTTGCAGCCACTCATCTCATGTTCAAATTTTCAGTTAGAATAGCTGACACAACCCAAAAGAAATTCCCACATCACTTGCAATGTCATAAATACTCTGATGATGAACTCTCTGAATAGCCTTCCTCATTTTTTCAACACTGGCATCTGTTTTTGATGATAGATGACTAGGATGTTCATCCTGCTTTGAATTAAGAAAACCATTCAGAACACTATGTCTGACCATTGCTTAATTGGCAAATGATTGCTGAAGCATTTTGTGAGTTTCACTAGCTGTTTTACTGAGCTTAACACAGAATTTGACACACACATGCTGTACATTCTTTTAAAGAATCCATTCTGTTATACAAAAAATTGTAACAATGAGAACTGACATGACACAAAATACCCAGGTAACCTTGATGAATGGCTGACCACACAAACTCACCACACTACTTCACTAAGGAGTGTACTATGCAGCGCAGTCTATACCACCACCAGTTTTTACCCAGGAAGCGCACAAAAATTTGAGTCTAGGAACTTCTTGATAGCACCTCGTATTGGAAAAGTATTGAATTTGTGTGCTATGATGGGTTCAAAATCGAGGGCAAGTGTAATATAGGAGAGGCCTGGGAATGTAATCAATAAACTGAGGAAAGGTTATGTTAGTGGCTGGAAAGCTATTATTTGTACTTTTTTAAAATTGGAATTTGTTGAAAATGTAAAATCATTAATTACCAAATTCTGATTGCCAAATAGGGTAGTCCTGATTGAATAGGCAGTTTGTGATCAATGGAAGGCACACTAGCAAAAAAGATGGAAATTGGATTGGTTTGAGCACTGGAAATTGCCTAAAAAAGGCATATATTTTGTGAATTGCTGCTGCTTAAGTGTTCCCAACCTTCAACTGTGCACCTGTATAATTCCCTAAGTTTACATACAATTTTGCATTTCTGGTGTCATTACTTTTATTAAAAATTCTCTACTATTTTAAAAGATAATTTTTTTTTATTTGTTTCGCCAGGCCACTATCTGGAAAAGACCCGGGCCGGGACATGTACGAGAGAATCATTTGATGCTCTCCGTCGTTTGCTTGGTTTTACTAGTCAAATATACCAAATCATCAGACAGTGGAGAGTGATGATTCAGTTGACTGGTTCAGCGAGGCCAGCAGTGAATATCCCATTTAACCTCTCCTCACCAATGTAATGTGATGGCCACCAAGGGGCTGCAGCTTTGCAGGCAGGCTCAACATCCAGGAAGGTGAAAACAAGTAGTACACAGGTCATCAAAGATGACAAACACACAGGGTGATGCCTAGTATAGCATCCACATGTGATAGCCACCCTAAGGGAGCTTAAGCCAACCTAGCATACCCATGAAGGAGACTCTTGAGATAACTTGGCTGCAGGAACCTCCACGACTGCCAAGAGCAAAATGACGAGTACTGCGTCTCTTTAGTCTATGAAAGTAATGTTACTTATCCAATAAATGGTATTTTTTATTTTACTAAAGCAGCCATGCTACCTCTGACATCTTTCACTAAGGCATTATTACCACATATTACTACTACAGTCAAAGAAGTTAAGCTAAACCCATATGGGTCATACAGCCTGAGGAATGGGAGGCAATTAGGTTCAATCCAAGGAAGGGGAAATCAGGTCTAATTTCTTGGATTAAGAACTCTTCATTTGCATCAAGGAGCCTCCCTTGAGAGGTACACTGAGGCAATCATGCCACTTTCCACACTTCAAATGTTATTTATGGTTTTACCAACCATTCATCACACCAGTTAAGTGTATTTAGAAATATTTTGCCTGGTATGTAAATATGTATGATTTAGGTAATTGATTTTCTTTTATATTTACAATAGTTAAAAAATCTATTCTCTCTTTATTTGGCATCAATGTTGACAAAATTATAATGCTAGATGGATATTTCTCTCTCAATGAATGCATTACAGATATCCTGTGCTAGTGGATTTTTCAATGAATCATTCCTGGGTATCATGTGGCCAACAAGACATACCCATCTCTAAATTTATCTCCAGCCTAATAATACAGTATGTACCACTCAATACACCAATACATATAAAAATCATATATGGTACTTTAGATTAATTTAGCTATTATACTGACATAACTGCTGCTTGCTTCTTGTACTGTACTATAAGAAATAATATGTATCAAGAGACTATGCAATACTTCATCAAACATAAAAGGCAGATAAGAGAAGTGTAGCTGTGACATAGTTGTATAAGGTAGTATGTGACAAGTGGTCAACAAGTAAAGTCTGACAAATGAAACTAACAGTTGTACATGAAGACTGCCACACTTCCTTTCATCTGTACGTCATGTGTTCTTCTCATAAAATGAAGTTTTTAATCATATTAAATAGTGAAGTTTTGCAGTGAATTTAATCAATTTAATCACAAAACAAGAGGATGAAATTTTTGCTTTGTTGTACATCAAACATTCACAAAATTATACTGTAGCATATCATCCACAATATTTTTACTAAAATGTGTACATACATAAAATGCAGAATAAGACAAAGTAAACCATTAAAACTACATTACACTTTGTATGCCCTTAAAGAATATTTATCATACAAAGAATGAATTTTCTCAAACATGAATTTAAAAAAAAACAGGAGATCATCATATTCATTGGCATACTCTGACTTGAGAACATTTGTGTGTACATCAACCAAAAAGTAATATACAGCCTCAATGGTGGCTAGGTAGGTGTGGGGCTTCCCACGCTGGTAACGCCAGAATAATGTCTCTCTATTGGTCAACTCAACACACTGGAGACCTAAAATAGAAAGTAATACCATTAACATGCATGTACAAAGTACTGCACATATTTTTTTGTCTTCAGACAGCATGAACCATTAGTAATAGTAATAACCTGTTGGAATAACCTTTAGCCCTTAAATTGTGTCCAGCATACTTGTACACAGGAGACAAATCTGTGTCCGACACACTTGGCTGACTTATCTCATACTATTAAATATGCCACTTACCAATATTTTAAGACTCAGCTGAATTATCATCATCTACTATTTCTTCACACCTATCATCTCTGCTTGTTCCTTGGTAGCACATGAAACTACAGCAGCTAGGACCTGTTGTGCCACCACTGGTTTCCCTACCAGCAAATAGGGTATGCAGCTGGCAGGAAAATGCAGTACTTGTTCCAAATTTCTTACAATTTTATGATATGAACCATGTAATTCAGTTAAAAAACATAGTCTGTAGATTTAACTTAGGATAACTGAATAAAGGCAAATAACTGTGCCTTAATTCCATAATTCGAGGAATATTACACCTTGGAAAACAAACAAAACACACATACACACACATGCATGCACACACTCGCACACACATGCATGCATGCATGCATGCGTGCACACACACGCGCACACACGCACACGCACACACACACACACACACACACACACACACACACACACACACACACACACACACACACACACACTAGAGAATGGAAAAGGTACAGAAGACAGAGAACTCAGGAAAATAAAGAAATCAGCCGAAGAGCCAGAAACGAATATGCACAGATAAGAAGGGATGGATTTATGAAGGATGAGGTTAATCATAGAATTGATGAGGGAAAAAAGGTGAGTGGTGCATTGAGGTATATGTGGAGTCAAAAAACGTTATCTATGGAGGCAAAGAAGGGAATGTATGAAAGTATAGTAGTACCAACACTCTTATATGGGTGTGAAGCTTGGGTGGTAAATGCAGCAGCGAGGAGACGGTTCGAGGCAGTGGAGATGTCCTGTTTAAGGGCAATGTGTGGTGTAAATATTATGCAGAAAATTCGGAGTGTGGAAATTAGGAGAAGGTGTGGAGTTAATAAAAGTATTAGTCAGAGGGCAGAAGAGGGGTTGTTGAGGTGGTTTGGTCATTTAGAGAGAATGGATCAAAGTAGAATGACATGGAAAGCATATAAATCTATAGGGAAGGAAGGCGGGGTAGGGGTCGTCCTCGAAAGGGTTGGAAAGAGGGGGTAAAGGAGGTTTTGTGGGCAAGGGGCTTGGACTTCCAGCAAGCATGCGTGAGCGTGTTAGATAGGAGTGAATGGAGACGAATGGTACTTGGGACCTGACGATCTGTTGAAGTGTGAGCAGGGTAATATTTAGTGAAGGGATTCAGGGAAACCGGTTATTTTCATATAGTCGGACTTGAGTCCTGGAAATGGGAAGTACAATGCCTGCACTTTAAAGGAGGGGTTTGGGATATTGACAGTTTGGAGGGATATGTTGTGTATCTTTATGTGTGTATGCTTCTAGACTGTTGTATTCTGAGCACCTCTGCAAAAACAGTGATAATGTGCGAGTGTGGTGAAAGTGTTGAATGATGATGAAAGTATTTTCTTTTTGGGGATTTTCTTTCTTTTTTTTTGGGTCACCCTGCCTCGGTGGGAGACGGCCGACTTGTTGAAAAAAAAAAGAAAAAAAAAAAAAAGAAGGGAGGCTCAGAGACAACATGAAAATGACATAGCATCAAAAGTAAAGACTGACCCGAAGCTGTTGTACAGCCACATCAGGAGGAAAACAACAGTGAAGGACCAGGTAATCAGACTGAGGAAGGGTGATGGGGAATTCACAAGAAATGACCAAGAGGTATGTCAGGAGCTCAACACAAGATTTAAAGAGGTATTTACAGTGGAAACCAGTAGGACTCCAGGAAATCAGAACAGGGATGCACACCAGCAAGTGCTGGATGAGGTACATATAACCAAGGAGGAGGTGAAGAAGCTGCTATGCGAACTTGACACCTCAAAGGCGGTGGGACCAGACAACATCTCTCCATGGGTCCTTAAAGAGGGAGCAGAAATATTGTGTGACCCATTAACAAAGATCTTCAACACATCATTTGAAACTGGGCAACTCCCTGAGGTATGGAAAATGGCAAATGTAGTCCCAATTTTTAAAAAGGGAGACAGACATGAGGCACTAAACTACAGACCTGTATCACTAACGTGTATAGTATGCAAGGTCATGGAGAAGATCATCAGGAGGAGAGTGGTGGGGCACCTGGAAAGAAACAAGTGTATAATTGACAACCAGCATGGTTTCAGGGAAGGAAAATCCTGTGTCACAAACCTACTAGAGTTTTATGACAAGGTGACAGAAGTAAGACAAGAGAGAGAGGGGTGGATCGACTGCATATTTTTGGACTGCAAGAAGGCCTTCGACACAGTTCCTCACAAGAGGTTACTGCAAAAGCTAGAGGATCAGGCACACATAACAGGAAAGGCACTGCAATGGATCAGAGAATATCTGACAGGGAGGCAACAACGAGTCATGGTACGCGACGAGGTGTCAGAGTGGGCGCCTGTGACAAGCGGGGTTCCACAGGGGTCAGTCCTAGGACCTGTGCTGTTCTTGGTATATGTGAAAGACATAACGGAAGGGATAGACTCAGAAGTGTCCTTGTTTGCAGATGATGCGAAGTTAATGAGAAGAATCAAATCGGATGAGGATCAGGCAGGACTACAAAGAGACCTGGACAGGCTACAAGCCTGGTCCAGCAACTGGCTCCTTGAATTTAACCCTGCCAAATGCAAAGTCATGAAGATTGGGGAAGGGCAAAGAAAACCGCAGACACAATATAGTTTAGATGGCCAAAGACTGTAAACCTCACTCAAGCAAAAAGATCTGGGGGTGAGTATAACACCGAGCATATCTCCTGAGGTGCACATCAATCAGATAACTACTGCAGCATACGGGCGCCTGGCAAACCTACGGATAGCGTTCCAATACCTCAGTAAGGATTCGTTTAAGACTCTGTATACCATTTACGTCAGGCCCATACTGGAGTATGCAGCACCAGTTTGGAATCCACACCTAGTCAAGCACATCAAGAAATTAGAGAAAGTGCAAAGGTTTGCAACAAGACTAGTCCCAGAGCTACGGGGATTGTCCTACGAAGAAAGGTTGAGGGAAATCAGCCTGATGACACTGGAGGACAGGAGGGTCAGGGGAGACATGATAACGACATATAAAATACTGTGCGGAATAGACAAGGTGGACAAAGACGGGATGTTCCAGAGAAGGGACACAGACACAAGAGGTCACAATTGGAAGTTGAAGACTCAGATGAATCAAAGGGATGTTAGGAAGTATTTCTTCAGTCATAGAGTAGTCAGGCCGTGGAATAGCCTAGAAAGTGACGTAGTGGAGGCGGGAACCATACATAGTTTTAAGGCGAGGTATAATAGAGCTCATGGGGCAGGGAAAGAGAGGACCTAGTAGCAATCAGCGAAGAGGTGGGGCCAGGAGCTGTGACTCGACCCCTGCAACCACAAATAGGTGAGTACAAATAGGTGAGTACACACACACACACTGGAGTTCGATGACTGGGTAACAGCAGTAAGGCAAGAGAGAGAGAGGGGTGGGTAGATTGTATTTTCTTGTACTGTAAGAAGGTGTTTGACAGTTCCACACAAGAGATAAGTGCCAAAGCTGGAGGACCAGGCAGGGATAACATGGAAGGCACTGCAATGGATCAGGGAACACCTGTCAGGAAGACAACAGTGAGTCAAGGTATGTGGCGAGGTGTCAGAGTGGGTGCCTGTGATGAGCAGGGTTCCACAGGGGTCAGTCCTAGGACTAGTGCTGTTTCTGGTATTTGTGAATGACATGACAGAAGGAATAGACTCAGAAATGTCCCTGTTTGCAGATGATGTGAAGTTGCTGAGAAAAATTCAATAGGACGAGGACCAGGCAAAACTATAGAGATCTGGACTGGCTGCAGGCCTGGTCCAGCAGCTGGCTCCTTGAGTTCAACCTCACCAAGTGCAAAGTCATGAAGATTGGGGAAGGGCAAAGTAGACCACAGATAGAGTACAGTCTAGGAGGGCCAGAGACTACAAACCTCACTCAAGAAAAAGGATCTTGGGGTGAGTATAACACTGGGCACATCTGAGGCACACATCAACCAAATAACTGCTGCAGCATACAGATGCCTAGCAAACCTAAGAACAGCATTCCAACATCTTACCAAGGAATCATTCAGGACAATGTACACTGTGTACATTAGGCCTATATTGGAGTATGCAGTGCCAATTTGGAACGCACACCTAGCCAAGCACATAAGGAAACTAGAGAAAGTGCAAAGATTTGCAACAAGAATAGTCCCAGAGCTAAGAGGAATGTCCTACGAGGAGAGGTTAAAGGAAATCGACCTGACGACACTGGAGGACAGGAGAGATAGGGGGGATATGATAACAACATAAAATACTGAGAGGAATCAACAAAGTGGACAGAGATAGAATGTTCCTGAGATGGGACACAGCAACAAGGGGTCACAGTTCGAAGATGAAGGCTAATTTTATTATTTATTATAATTGGTCAGGGGGTTGCTCACAAAAAAAAAAAAATATGTAATTAAGACCACCTGCCTGGTAAAAATATCCTTATATCATTGTAAAGTTGACCATTTTCCTTTGTAAGCAAATCCTAGGCTTAGTCTGTGCACAAAATTTAATGCAGTAGCATGAAATAATGCAAAAAAAAATTTGCTTAAACACAATATCTTTGTACAAGGACCTCAGTGTGCCACTACTCTGTTCTGTCACTCACAGGTAGTGACATTTTAGTTGATGGTGTGCTAAGACAGTAGATTAAGACTATAGAGAAGTAGCTGGATCAAATACTTAACATGGAAAAAAATTTAAGAGAAAACCTTGAAATAATCACAACATATGCAAAAATCATTACAAATAATAATTTTAACAAGTAATATATTTCACACCTCTGCTATTGTTACCATTTATTGAGAAGTGTGTGTGTGATGCTTCACACAAACACTGCTGTAAATGTTGCCATACACAGTACAGAGAAGTCACACACAACATACTCTACTGACTTACCAACACAAAACATCTACATCCACAATACCTCTTATTCTTTCATCACTGTAGAGTTTCCTGGTTTGATTCCAAGTACAATCAATAAATACTGCTTTTGTAAATGGAATCTGTGGTCTGCTGCGTTTTATCTGAGGTTCTTCAGGACGTCTTTTGTTCTCTCTATCAAGATGTGACCACAGATCTTCAATGCATATAGCATCTTTATCCGGAAAAATGAGAAGGATCTGTGGAAATTTACATTTTGTTACTAATAGTAAAGGTATTTCTTAACAATACAATATGCAAATAAGTTAGAGGGTTAAATGTAATTGTCCAAAAATGCCATAACTCAATAACAATGCAGAACACTGCTTGATGACACACATGCTTTAAACCAAAAGGTGCTAAACTAAAGCACTATTAAGACATTAATAAATTCAATAATCACTGCCAAGAAGTAACCTCATGCACCGCATATCTGGCAATTTCAATTCTGAATATTAAGCATGTTATTTGAGCTAGTGTTGAGATGTTTTGAAAAGAGAGAACATCTTTGAACCTGAAAGACTAAAGAGATGATGTAACATCAGTGTGTAGCAAAACACTGTCCCTGAACCATAAAACACACCACACAGTGTCAAAGCAGATACACCGTCAAGCAGAAGCAAATCCCTTGGTATTCTCTGGCTACTTTTTTCACCCTCCATAAATATAGTAAATTTTCTAAGGTACGAGAAAGCTAGTAATGACTGAAGAGAAAGGCGAAAAAAGAAAAAAATATGCAGTGGCGTGTCATAAAAGAATAGCTAGGGTAGACAAACAACACTGATAAGCTCTTTGATCAGAGGCGTTGCTAGGGTTGGTGTCACCTGGGGCAGAATCTTTGGTGTCACCCGGGGCAGCATGAAATCCACAAAATCCAATGGAGGGGGGATGGGGGGTAGTAAACTCCAGTTACGTCACTAATGCATGACCAATGACTAATGTTTAGCAATGGGAACATTTAAGGGCCATAAACTGAACAGGAGAATACTTCTCAACTTTATTAATGATAAAATAAATAATCATAGTAATAAATAACAAAAAGGCACAATACCGTGACTGGAACGATACACAAATAACCCGCACATAAAAGAGAGAAGCTTACGACAACGTTTCGGTCCGACTTGGACCACTGACAAAGTGACTTTGTCAATGGTCCAAGTCGGACCGAAACGTTGTCGTAAGCTTCTCTCTTTTATGTGCGGGTTATTTGTGTATCATAGTAATATTGAAGAAACATAAATACCATTTTGAGTACAGGCAACAGATCTTACATTTATTCATCTTCAACAATGCCCCCCCCCCCCAAAAAAAAAAAAAAATGAAAAATAAAGAAAAACACTGAAATATCAAAGAAACACTAGTTCCAATTTGGCCTTGAGTACAGGTAACATCTCAGTGAATCTGATCTTACATTTCCTTGCTTTCAATCCTGCAAGATCATCTATCACATCAAAATCAATGATTTTCCCCTCTATAGGTTTATTTGTACTCTATAATCATTTAATAGGCTATATAGAAATGAAGGATTCTTCTCTTATGTTGCTGCAGCACTGTTTTGGGCATTAATGTCACCTTCTCTGGAGGCTCTATGGTGTCACCCCCTAAATGGTGTCACCCGGGGCAGCCGCCCCTTACGACGCCACTGTCTTTGATATATATGAAGTATGACTATATGTAAATACTTGCTTTTCTAATTCATTTAACCAATAAAATAGGAAGCAATAATATATAATACTATTTAACTTACCATTTTAAACATAGTTCAATAGAATTCATGACTTTCATGCTGTAAAATTCTAGTTTGACTGTTAGATTTTGTAAAAACTCTTTCTCAATTCATAAAAAGCAAAGCTTTGCAATCTTTCTTGGCCTTGAGACTATTGGAAAAAGCTTAAATTATTTTAATTTGTTTCACAACTGGGCAGTACTCTATATATGAGCCTCTTCTAAGTCAGTTATCTTTTAAAGCTATAAATGTCTGTTAAAGATTTATGTTTGACTCCTCCTATCAAGTAAACAAGCTGTGATTTCACTGACAAAAAATGTAAGAAATTGTTATATTAATACCTCAGTTACTAGAAGTGAGAAAGACACTATGCTTTCAATGAAACATTTATCATGAAGTTTTGTCCAAAACTGGAGTTTATCAGTAAATGAAGATACACATATACACTGCTTTATAAGGCAAATGAGCACCCAGAGGTCAGGCATGGAAGAGATCAAAAGAAAGGTAAGGTAACAAGTTAGGTTTAACTATAAGGCAGTGTATCTGTGTGTTATTGTACATGTGACGAAGTTCAGTCCTGGATAAAATGTAGTAATGTTTCCCAGCAATCATAGTGTCATTCTAAATATATGTTGGCTTACACAATTGCTTAACATCTGCAAATACTTTTCTAAAGCTGAAGAATAATGAAAAGTGTAATAGCACAAAAAGCTTAATGAATCCCAAATTGCAAATCTATTTTTAGCCTGATTAAGAATCATGTCAATACTGCCAGGCTCTTACTGTGGTAACAGTCTTCTTGGTATGCTTAAATTGTGTGGTCCACAAACTTACATTCTTCCATATCTCCTAGAACTGCTACTTTTGCCTAACTACGACACATGAAAACTAACCTTGCCATAAAGCCTCTTGATAATTGAACCAAATGGTACCCAAATCAACCAAAATAAAAAGACTTGTCCATGACCGACTCATCCACTCTCCACCAACCTAACTCATTTGTTATACGAGTTAAAATGGTAACCAGAGAACCAGCACCATGAACAATCATGGGATGAAGGGAAATACCGTTGTAAACAACTCCCAACAAAGTTCACACCTGGAGGTAGGCATCTTGCCACCAGCCTCACCCATAACAACAAGAAACCCCTCGGTCAGCCTCAAAGACTTGTCCCTCTACTTATTTACAGGTCTTGATGGAGACAGCACCAAAGTAGTCTCTATCATCAATGACCAGGCTCAGAAAATTAAACTTCTAACCAAATACAATGAGATCAAACAAGACTGATTAACTGATGAAGCTTACTGACAACAAACACTGAAAGATACCCTGACTCAACTCGCCACCACATTATTCAAGGTAGAAGAAGAAACCAGGGGCATCAAGCAGGAACTTCTGGATACAACTACAATAATAAGCGTAATGAACAAATGAAATAAGCTGAAGCTCAATTCAATACCTTCAATAAAAAGTTAGATTACAATTAAGGCTAGTAAGCACACTAAACCAAAGAATTTTTTGACCTCATCCTTAAGCAAGATCAACTTGAGCAGCAGCAACTAACTAATGTGGTCATAGTAAATAGTCCATAGTTACCATCAACTGACAAACTTCTTGACTGGAAATAACACTCCAGCGTATACAAGATGAAAAAAAAAAAAAACGTAAGCACTGATGAAAAGTAAATCAAAGAAGCAGTCTTCCTGGGTAAACCAGGAAAAAGAAATATCCAGTTCTGCTTAGATTTTATACCTTCTAAGTAAGAAATGACCTCATCCAGATCACTATATAAAAGCAGAAACTTACATACTATATATTAATGAATGTCTCACCAAAGAGTGTCAGAACCTCTTTAGGCTAAGATCTTTGTGCCAGACCAATACAAACAAAATAAGATAATGTTATGTAAAAGATGGGCAAACTTTGTGAGACTGAAACACATAGGAAGTTTGTGATGATGACTTCAGTAACTTCATCCAACAATTTGGCCTACCTAGAACAGAACAAATCTAAACATTCACCACTTCACCTGCATTCTAGTCCTCTCCAAATTTCATAAATCCCAATAGAAACTTCTTTTGTAAATTTAATAACTTGCAGAAATTTACTGGCACTCTACTAGCTTTGAATTGCAACTGATTTCTGTTTAGGATTCTTCTTAACCCTTTCACTGTCTCTCATGTAGATCTATGTTATTGATCCCAGTGTCAGTCATGTAGACCTAGATTTTCAGCATGGCACCTGTGGAAAATTTTGTACATTATCCGAAATTATAGTGTATAATTTTTTATAATGTCATTCAATGAAATGTATTGCTATTGATTTAAAATTAATTTGCGAGTTGGAAGGGAACCAGCAGACAAGTAGCGCTGAGTGGGGAGGGGTGTGGCATATTGGGAAAGGAGTGAAAGACCGGTCTGAATGCCAGCCAATATAATCAATCATCATCGAGCTCAAATTAAATTGGAACGGCCTTATACACCCAGGAAATAATGCGGTGACATGCTACACTGCAGACTGAGAAAAATAAGTGTGAAAACCACTGCAATAGAGTGGATACAGGGTGAAATAAGAAGACGACGTGCTGGAATACAATGTGTGGGATCACATGGCAAATTGCACCAGAAATTCGGTGTTCTTTGAGGCTTAATGGAGAATATAAGGAACCATCAGCACCCACAGTTAAGTAAACTGTCCTTTTTATGTTAACTGCTGGCCAATTACATTCTTCATATTTAGGTAGGTGTTGTGGGTGGTCCAGCTGCATCAAGCGACCTCCAGAGAAAATTTGGTAAGTGTTAATATAAAGATTTCTAAATATATATCAATTTGTATTAATACATCTATTATTGTGGGAGTTGTCACAGCTGCTCTTTGCTGATGACACTGTGCTCTTGGGAGATTCTGAAGAGAAGTTGCAGAGATTGGTGGATGAATTTGGTAGGGTGTGCAAAAGAAGAAAATTAAAGGTGAATACAGGAAAGAGTAAGGTTATGAGGATAACAAAAAGATTAGGTGATGAAAGATTGAATATCAGATTGGAGGGAGAGAGTATGGAGGAGGTGAACGTATTCAGATATTTGGGAGTGGACGTGTCAGCAGATGGGTCTATGAAAGATGAGGTGAATCATAGAATTGATGAGGGAAAAAAAGTGAGTGGTGCACTTAGGAGTCTGTGGAGACAAAGAACTTTGTCCTTGGAGGCAAAGAGGGGAATGTATGAGAGTATAGTTTTACCAAACGCTCTTATATGGGTGTGAAGCGTGGGTGATGAATGTTGCAGCGAGGAGAAGGCTGGAGGCAGTGGAGATGTCATGTCTGAGGGCAATGTGTGGTGTGAATATAATGCAGAGAATTCGTAGTTTGGAAGTTAGGAGGAGGTGCGGGATTACCAAAACTGTTGTCCAGAGGGCTGAGGAAGGGTTGTTGAGGTGGTTCGGACATGTAGAGAGAATGGAGCGAAACAGAATGACTTCAAGAGTGTATCAGTCTGTAGTGGAAGGAAGGCGGGGTAGGGTCGGCCTAGGAAGGGTTGGAGGGAGGGGGTAAAGGAGGTTTTGTGTGCGAGGGGCTTGGACTTCCAGCAGGCATGCGTGAGCGTGTTTGATAGGAGTGAATGGAGACAAATGGTTTTTAATACTTGACGTGCTGTTGGAGTGTGAGCAAAGTAACATTTATGAAGGGATTCAGGGAAACCGGCAGGCCGGACTTGAGTCCTGGAGATGGGAAGTACAGTGCCTGCACTCTGAAGGAGGGGTGTTAATGTTGCAGTTTAAAAACTGTAGTGTAAAGCACCCTTCTGGCAAGACAGTGATGGAGTGAATGATGGTGAAAGTTTTTCTTTTTCGGGCCACCCTGCCTTGGTGGGAATCGGCCGGTGTGATAATAAAAATAAAATAATTATTGTAATAATATGTACTGGAATGACATTATTATACTGTGGACCCCATTGTGTTTTTCCTTTAGTCAGTCAAAAGCTCCATACAGTCCACTTCAATAAAAAATTACCAATTTAATGGTTATTTAGGTCCAGGGTTGTGTGTGTACAGAGGATTGTGGGTGTTGGAGGGGAGATTCTCAAGACATCCAGAATTTCCAAAATTCCCACATACATCAGAGGTGCAACAAAATGTAAGTAATGTATCTTAGTTGCCTTCTAATCAATTACTTGTATGAATGCAATAGTGAGGTTCATACAGGTAATTTATTTCTTACAGCACCCTCAAATGTGCTGGGAAGAAAATTTTGGCCTAGACATAAGAGAATAGGTCTGTGCAGAAGTATGCACAATATAAAAAAAAATCCTGCCCCACCCAGTGAATAATGTTAAAAGCAAACCTCTGACCTTTTAAGGTGTTTTAAGATGGTTTTTATGGTTGTATTGGCTGTCTCTTAACCCCTTGACTGTCGCAACCCCCAATCCTGAGGTGTCTCCTGGTTCCGCAAAATTAAAAAATAAAAAAATTATTTTTTTCTTATGAAATGATAGAGAATCTTTTCCCGATTGTAATGACACCAAAAAAACGAAATTTGATGGAAAACTGACGGAATTACGCTCTCGCGAAGTTAGCGACCTCGGCGATATTTACAAATTGGCGATTTTGCCCACTTTGAGCCCTATTTTAGGCTAATTCCATTGTTCCAGTCGATCAAACTCATAGCTATTTCTTTAGAACTCCATTTTTTCTATCGATTGAGTACAAGAAACTGCCCATTTACCGATTTCAACTACCCAATAACATGGTATGAAATTTGCAATTTGGCCAATTTCACAAAAATTAAAAAATATGACAATTTCAAAATAAGGACCAGAATGAACAATGCAGACATTCCTGGCTCTAAAGTAACATTTTCTTTGTTCATCAGTTATGTCTCCAGGCCCCTGTGATATTACTCTTGCTTTCTATTTTGAATTTTTATTCAAACAAAAAATAGATTTACTGTTATGCAGACTACTGCAATACTGTAATAATTGTATAAATAACATCAAGACATTCATGACTGCATATTAGAATGGCTAGTTGGACATTTATTGGACAATGACATCATTTGTTTACTTTTGAACATCGGCAAAAATCAAACATTTCCTGTACTTTGAGCTCCATTTCCAGGTTCTTTTTATGGTAAAATCAATCAAAATCACCTCTATTCCTATAATATATTTTCCATTCTATCAAATGAGACCAAGAAAACGAGAATACAACCATAAATACTATACAAAAATAGACCACAAAGTCGTCATTTTAATTAAAAAAAAAAAAGTCTGAGTTTTTTTTCTCATTATGCACTGCGTGCTCCAGGATTTTTTTTATATGGTGCACACTGACCACACAGACCCATTCTCTCACATGTGGGCCTACCAGCTTTCTCCTGCTTGATTTAAAGCTGCTAGAATTTATTAGTATATATACATCAAATACTCTACCTCGTAAGACGTATATATACAGCCGCGACAGTCAAAGGGTTAATATCATTTAATAGAATGGTAGACATGGCACTGAAATAGAGATGATTTTAGGCAGTTTCAGTACTGGAAGCAACTTAAAATAGGGCTTAAAGAAGTGTAAATATTTGATTTTTAAAAATTTTCCTGAGGTAAGGTAAAGCCCTGCCTACCCACTCAATCTGTTTCATGGGTTTTTACTAGGTCTGCTTCAATTACTGGGATGCCCTAAACCATAGCCAGTCATTCCTAGTTACGTACTATATTTTATTATCCGAGAAATAGGGTAAAACTTTGATTTTCTTGGTGTGGAAGGCCGGGGATGTTATTACCCTTTCACTGTTGAGACTCCCCAGTGTCTAACAGTGCTCGGTGTAGACATTAAAAAAAAAAAAAAAAAAAGGTTTCTTCTGAAATGATAATCTCTTTCTAAAAGTAATGAGATAAAAAATATTAAATTTGATGGAAAACTTGCATAATTATGTAGATGCAAAAAGTAGCAGTCTGGGCACAATTAATGCATCGGCAATTTCACCAACTTTGAGTCCTATTTTAACTGAATTCCACTGTTCAAGTCAATCAAATTCTTATCCATTTCTCTAGTATGCATGATGTTTTATCTATCATGCACAAAAGACTGACCATTCAACTATCATAATTACTGTATAAAGTACACACAAATTGGGAATTTGGCCAATTTTACACAAAATTAAAAAAAAAAATCCAATTTCAAAACAAATCCAAAATAAACACAAGATATTTCAGGCACTAACACAACATTTTCTCTGTTCATTTATCATGTCCTCAAGCCTCTTATATATCATGTTTGCCCTCCATTTTCAATTTATCACACAAAAAATTGAAGTTTTTACCTTATTTCTCAGCTAATAAAATATAACTAGGAATAAATGATGCAGATCTATTAAAAACCCATAAAACAGACTAGGGGGGAGTGTAGGGGGGCTTTACCCATCCACAGGAAAATCACAGAAGAATATATTTCTGCTACTCTGAGCACAATTTCGAGCTACTTCTGGTTCCAACCAAAATCATCTCCATATCAGTAATATGTCTTTCATTCTATCAGAAGAAACCAAGAAACAGGAAATAAAACCATAAAAATCATTGAAACACCTCAAATTTGCTATTTTAAACCTAACACAAGGTCAGAGGTTTGCTTTTCCCATCATGTACTTCATGGGGCAGGATTTTTCTTTATACTATGCACACTCACCACACAGACCCATTCTCTCATATCTAGGCCAAAATTTACCACTCATAACTTATCTAAGGAAGCTGAGCTCATAATGTACTTTTACACGAATGATGCTGGCATCGATGACAGATCCACATGCAAGACACTGAAGGGTTTAATGGAAGAGACTAGAGCTTCCACAGTTTACACTATTTATGGAAGCAAATTAGAACTGTAACTGTATGCATTATTTATGGAAGCAGAGCCTAGAGCTCTCACTGTTTACACTATGGAAGCTGAGACTAGCACTTCCATTGTCTACGCTATTAACCCTTAAACGGTCCAAACATATATATACGTTTTTTCAACATCTGAAAGTATGTAAAAAAATGTAGATCTTTTTTGTTTTACATTTGAAAACGTGTAAAAAAAACTTTTATCGACATTTTTTTTTTTGTTATATTTGAAAATATGTAAAAAAAAGTAGATCTACTTTTGTAGCACTACGAATTTGAACGTGGATCTGTTTGGACCGTTTAAGGGTTAAAGAGATTTATTTTTTCTGTTGCAATTTGTGCATTATTAATTTTAGCTTTCTTCAAAATAACTCAACGAATTTAAAGATATGATATCTTCAAGCAGTATATATATAAACTGAAATCTCTGAGGGACTAAATGTCCTTACAAACTTTTTTTTTTTTTTCCTAATGTTTTTTTTGCTGTTGTTCCAAAGTTTTTAACAGTGGGCTTTACTTACAAGAATTAAAAGAGAAAAAAATCATATTATATGTCAAACATATTTTTATCAATGAGCAGACATTATCATGCACTGCCCATAATAATATACCATACTCCAGGATTGGACTACTAACATTTTCTTGAGTGGAGTAGTCTGGCAGGTTTGGGTAGGTGTATATGGCTACATCGTCAGGTGCGATTACTGCTGCGTGCACGGCTGTGCTCTTGCCATCAATCTCCTTAGGGTGCTTGATGATGTCAATCTTACAGGGAAGCTGTTGATTAAATTATGTGTTATTACAGAACTCTAAAAGTGATTGCTCATCAGGTAAAGACAAATCTTTCCATCACAGAACAGGAAGTGAAGGAGAAAAATCCTCAGTTATTGAAGCATGTGTAGCTTGGATGACTTCAGCAGTGACTCCATGATGACTTGGGATTTAAATGCTTTGATGCCCACAGTAAACCTCTTTTCACAGTGCAGCAAAAGGAAAGAAAGTAAAGTTTTGGAAGAAATACTGTGCGTGGGATTTGGAAAAGTGGAGCAGAGTTTTGTGGTTAGATGAATAAACTTTTACAGTGACTGATAGTGGTAGGAGGAGGGTTTGGCAGGTTCTTCATTCTGACACACACCTCCCACAGTACACTTACAAGACTGTGAAACACCCTGCATCCGTCATGGTGTGGGGATGTTTCACTTGTTATGGTGTTGGGGAATTAATACTTACAAACATGTCATGAATGTCAAAATGGTATACAATACCGAAAGGTTGGTAGGTAAGACACATAGGCAACATTTGGGCAACTTTATTCTGAAACATTTTGCCTACACAATAGGCTTCTTCAGTCAAGTAGAGAAAGTAGGCAGGAGCAGTAGAGATGTGAAGACGATGTAATCAGTCCATCACCCTTGAAGTCGTAGATTTGAGGTTGTCAGTCCCTCAGCCTAGAGAAGTCGCTTGATCTTCAGTTAGTTCCAGACTTTGGAACAGAACTTCTCCAGGCTGAGGGACTGACAACCTCAAATCTACGACTTCAAGGGTGATGGACTGATTGCATTGTCTTCACATCTCTACTGCTCCTGCCTACTTTCTGTACTCGACTGAAGAAGCCTACTGTGTAGGCAAAACGTTTCAGAATAAAGTTGCCTAAATGTTGCCTATGTGTCTTACCTACCCACAAACATGTCATGATGAATCAGAAAATTTCGTTGGAGTTTTAATTAATTTTTTACCCAATTCCTATGAAAAGGCCAAAGCAACACTGTTTATGCAAGATTTTGCTACACTGCCAAAAGTGTCAAAAAAGTGGCTGATTTTGAAGTGCTGCATCAAACAAATACACCAGTCACTCCAAAAAAATATTCCCACCTGCTTTCATCATCTGTCTTGATACCATCTATCACAGCTGCTTTAACTCCCCTCCCCCCCTTTCATTCTACCCACTGCCTCATGTACCTCCTCCACACTCATCTGGCTTTTCCTCACTCTTACAAGATATTATACATCCATGAGACCATTGCATGAAAGCACTGCCTCTCTTTCTTCATCAACATTTAATAACTCATCAAAATATTCCCTCCATCTTCCCAGTGCCTCCACCTTCTCATTTAATGTATCTCATTGACTGTTTTTAGATGCTAAATCCATTTGTTACCTAGGCTGTCTCAGCTTATTACTCTCACTACAAAACTTTTTCTTATTCTCAGCAAAGAAACAGTACCTGAATAAAGATAAAAACAAATCATTACACATTATATAGTATCCTGCCTAGAGGGAGGGAGTAAAGGTGGTTTTGTGGGCAAAGGGATTTGGACTTTCAGAAAGCGTGCATGAGCATGTTACATAAGAGCGAATGGAGATGAATGGTTTTTGGGACCTGACAAGCTGTTGGAGTGAGAGCAAGGTAATATTTTGTAAATGGATTCAGGGAAACCGGTTAGCCGGACTTAAGTCATGGAAATGGGAAGTATAATGCCTGCACTTTAAAGGAGGGGTCTGGGATACTGGCAATTTGGAGGGACATCTAAACTGTCGTATCTGAGTGCCTTTGCAAAGGCAGTGATTATGTGTGAGTGATGGTGAAAGTGTTGAATGATGATGAAAGTTTTTTCTTTCTTTTTGGGTTTTTCTTCCTTTTTGGGTCACCCTGCCTTGGTGGGAAACAGCCAACATGTTAAAAAATATATACACATGTATATATTTTGTAACACGTAAGATGCACATTTTTTTTTTTCCAAAATTTGACACTCAAAAACATCCTGCATCCTACACAGAGAAAGTCAGGCTTTGTGTCCAGCTTGGGATGTTGGTATCCCCCTAGTTAAACAATCCAAACAACTTCAGAATAAATATATATATGGTACTGTATATTACATGAATAATTCCATTTGGTAAAGAGAACAATTAAAATAATAATAAATAAACAAGGAATATTCAGTAAATGACTGATAATTCTTTAAGCTTCTGGCACTGATCAAGTAAATCACTCAATGTCATAGGAATTTAGACAGTTCCCACCAATAACCAGTGTTATCAGTATATTTCCTGCATCAACGTGTAACAGTGCCTTATAAAATAAAACATTCATTCACTGAAGCACAAAATGCTTTATCATTTAATACTTAATAAACAAAAGAATAATTGTCTGTTCACTGTAAACACCTGGCAACCATTTATTTATTTTGGTAGTATCAACTGAGTCTGACACTGACATACCATATGCCATAATATAAAAGAACATTAACAAATAAAAATATAACAACAATCACAGATGAATGGTAAATATCAGTACAAAAAAATAATATGAACCATGGAGTTGAGGCCATGGTGATTTTTATTTTACCACCACATTTCATGCTAAATTTAAGGTGCTTAGTACATGCCGGTGTGTCATGTGGCGCAAAATATGCTATATTATATTCTGGAAATATCTCTGCACAGTAGTTGCAACCTACCTTCACCTTTGGAATTTTGTCAGCAATGTCAGGCACAGGAATGTAACATGTATAGCAGAAATACTTTCTAGATTTCCCACACTGTACACATGAGCTCCTACCATCTAAATTATTCAGGAAACTAGAATCACTGATTTTCATATTAGCAAATGGACTTTCCAGATTCCTTGAAGGCTTCATAAGTTTTATTTGTTCACTATTATACTTTCTAAGATCAACAGGTTTTTCCTTGTTGGTCTTTGCTTTGTTCTCTATTTCTTTCTCCAGAAGTGTTTCTTTATTATCTGTTAACATGGTGCAAGATATATTCTCTCAGCTCCTAGGTTTGGTCTGAATGATTGACGATATTGTTGTCGTACTTAAGCACTGCCCAGACTGGAGTGAACTCTTGTAAGGTAGTTATTATCTTCCTGCAAAAATAGAAACTATCACTAAGTCACATATTGAATATTAATATGGATATAGCTCAAGTAAAAAAAAATGTTGGTGTACATATACTAAAGTTGCAAGCACACTATGTATACATGTACTACAGTACATACACAATGCACTTTAGTATGTGGATTATTAACATAGAGGGATAGTAACAAAATATTACAATAAAGCCACTCTGGCTTACTTCCACTGATATTCTTTGATCCTTTACCATAAGATGCAACACACAACAGTTGGCTAATACCCAGATATCTATACAGTGCTAGGTGAACATATAAATTAACACCTAATGCTGAGAAAACCTATGATATAGTGTTTGGGAATAAAGCTAAAAATGCTTAACTAACTATGAACATAAACAATTCACACTGAGAGACAGGAAGAGGAGAAATTTCTGAGAATCCACATTGACTGCAAACTTAAGCTATCACACAGATCACATTTCTAAGTTTCCACAACTGTGTGCATTCCTTCCAGTTTTAGTTTAATTGCTTTATTATGCACCCCATACCCATTCTGTGGGTGGTAGTCAAAACAGATATATATAATGGGTCCAGGGACTGGGGCCCCAAAGTTCTGACAGCTCAGCAAGTTACAGTGTTAATGAACTATATTTACAAATTAATTACATGGTAACAATTTTTGCATAGGGCGAGACAGACACGAGGGACGTCGAAGATAGTTTTGTGTCTTGTGTTGTGCGTGTGTGTCCTGTACACTTAGCAGTAAGTAAGTAGTTGAATATTAGGCAACTGTGTCTTGTGGCTCAGTTGGCAATGCTTTTGCCTCATACACTGATTGTCTGTGGTTCAATCCCTGGCATGGGTGTTAGTTAACTGGTGTATTCCTGGAATATACCTGTTGTGAGCGGCATCCTGGGAGACAAGATTGAAAGACCACAATGGAAATAAGAAAAACAGACCTCGATGACACATTGACTTTTTGGGGGTTATCCTGGGTAGCTAACTCTTCCCCGGGTTAAGTAAATCCAAACAATTCTTATCTTAGTGAGTCGCATCCTGGGTAAGAGTATTGAAACACTTCAGTTAAGAGTCCACAGTATTATTATTATTATAATCAAGGGGGAAGCGCTAAACCCGGAGGATTATACAGCGCCTGGGGGGGGGAATGTGGAAGGCATTCAGGCTTAATTCGGGGAACTGGAGAACAGATCCAATTTCCTAAATCAAGAGCCCCTCACCAACATCAAAGAACCTTCCTTGAGGGGAGAGTCCAGAGTAGCTACACTGGGTAAGACTATGCAAGAAAATTGTAATTATTTAAAACTTGTGTAACTATCTAAGTAAACATATTTATTACTAATCCTGGATTACTAATTATTCTCCATGTTAGTAATACCATCAAATCTTTCAAGGTAAAAAAAAAAAAAAAAGTATATTTCTACCATTTTCATGCTGTATGACGGAACTCAACATATACTAAACGAGAAATCTGAATAAAAATACCTTATATGTGCAGTAATACCTACGTTGAATACTGATAAAGAAATAAACAAAAACAAAAGCTGATAAGTCATTCTGACTTTTTTATGTTATCCTAGGTTCTCTTCACATATGCTGCTATGTATGATAATCTATGTAACTCTCTCTCTTTGTGTATACCTGGAAGCTCTGGAAGCTATATTTCTTGTTGAAAAGAACAGATCAACGTCTTCTTGTTATGGGTTTTAAGGGCTGCTGACAGCTACACACTATTATACTCTCCTTCCTGGACGACAATAAAATGAAGGAATAAAATAATAATAATTTATTATTTTAACATGATACATGATTGTATAAAGGAATATAATAGTTGGGTGTACATGCCAAACGCCCCTTTGTATGCAGAGCATTTCGGGCAAACTTAAATTTAACTTAAGATTAATAAGGCAATAACAGTTCATATATTCATTAGATGAGTTACAATGAGTACAAGACAATTGAGTATTCTATTAAGTAATGCTATATGACTTTAATAAGTCTAGTGGAGAAGTACAGTACAGAATAATTACAGTTTTGATATAGTTTATAAAAAGTACAGTATTACAATTTAGTACAAGTATTTTTTTTTTTATTTAAATACACTACATAACAAGAATATGATACCTTGTGACCAAGGCCGAAATACATATAAATCATAACACAAAGGATAAACATTACACGCACACTAAACATATCGCGTATAAATAACAGAACATTAACTATAATATGGATAATACCCTATACCATAAACAATACATTATAAAACACACCCCTACCTAAACATACACAATGCACCGCATATTATTTATTTTATTAAAACCCGCACACATATACATATGGCTAGGTACACTGAGATAAGATAAAATGTGTGCAGTGTAAACATTATCTCAGCCGGACACTGCACCAGGTCGTGAAGACAAGACACCATGCATAACACAAAGCTTACCTAACATGAAACCCACCAACAAATACATCAGGAACTAGTACAATGGGTGCAGCATGCAATAGTATTGGCTCCATGCCTCCTATCCCCACTAACCCCCCCCCCTCTCCCTACCAATAGAAAGTATAACACACAATTATTAACCATAGGCCTGCATGTTTGCATTGAATATCTTTAGTACTAAGGTGAACGGCCACCATCACTGACATTACAATATACACACTATATGCACAGCTTACAGAACAAAGCTTACTTTTACAAAAAGAAAATATAATTTGACAAACATAGCTGTGAAAATTTGTCTGGACTGCCTCCAAGTGAGTCGCCTACCCTGGCAAGCTCTGTTGACATCGAGCTCTGAGGTCGGTACCTCAGCCTCACAAGTGGCTTATAGGACAGATTTTCATAAATGACTGATGTTGCAAGAAATCTCGCCTGCATGCACGTTTAAAGGACTAACTTTCTTGGTGATGTAGAGTCTATTCTGGTCTTCAACCTCCCTAAGCTTAGCCCCTTTGGACTTCCCCTCAGAAACCACGTGCAACCGGGAGCCTTAGTTCCTCCAATATTCAATCGATATTAGTGACCTGCCTGCACCTCAGAAATTCTTGTATCCAAGAGGGTGTGTATCCCCTAGTATAACTATGCAGAAACGGACACTAGCTTCTAGGTAGACAAGAGACAAAGTACGTACTGGTCATGAACTGCCGGCTGCACAAAGGCCTACAGCTCAACTCACTTGCAACTTTCCCCAGACACTGGCCAGAATCCTAAGAAAAAGTGGAGGTCTTGTCTTACTGTATGGGCCTGACGGAGGAGGACATCTACGGTATGTCGAGGTGCCTCCACCAGATTTCCCCAGGTCTCATATGTGAAGACATGTGGGGGTGCCGCCTGCTGATCACGACACGTCTTGTTCAGATGGTGTCTAGTCATAGAAGAAAGATCTGGCGTCTTCGAGACCTGTGCCTCGTCGTTCAAACTTGGGCTGCCAGTTCTCCCCAGCTAACTTAACCTAGTGTTTGCCTACATTTGGCCTATTACTACCTATGTTAAGGTCTTAGGTCTACATTATTATTATTATCTACAGTTGCCTCAATAATCCTAATATTAGTGTACTAACAGTATAAACTACCTACTTCTTCCCTGAAGGGTAAATCTATCAATTAAGAAGCACCTTCCATCCACCTTCGCCAACCCGGGTGAGTGTGTTTGTGTTTTAGGTGGGTTTAAGGGCCCTCGAACGGTGTGTTTTTCCCCATTGGGACTTCTTGGACTGAATAAGTTCCAACAATAGCAGCAACAAAGCCAATCTAAGCACTCGTTAATATAACAGTGGTGTTCATATAACACAAGAATTCCAAAATGGCTCCAACACATAAAAACCACACATACATACAGTTGTAAGACATCCGCACACGCAACATCATTCAGCACCCATCATTATACAAATAGTATGATTACCAATAATGACTTTATAAGTTTGTCATGTTTCCCCCACACACATACCGCTTTACCATAATAAAAGAAGCACAATATATACTGACGCTACAACACATGGCAAACCTCATACCTCATACCTCATACCCAATACTCTCATAACCTACACACCATAAAACACCATGTCTCTTTAACATATAAGAGGTGTTCCAGTCATACTCTCTCACACTAGCCCCCCCCCCCGGGGAGACCAGCCCGCCACATCCCCTGACTCCCTCCCCCTCTTACATCCCCAAGAGAACTCCTGCCGTTAAATCACGATAGCTTACAGGGAAATCCCTCTCCCACCTTATCCCATAAAGAACCCGATTCCGACACAGCATACGATGAAAGGTTGCCGCCAATACTCTTTTATGCACCCCCTCCCCCTGACCCCTCATTGCCCACGACACATACACAAAATCTACAATAAGGTAACCAAGTGCCCGCTGCACAGGGATTCCCACCCCTCCCACATCCAAACTTAGAGCCCACAAGACCGAAATCCCCCCCTCCCACCCATCATACCACTCTCCCCATCCACTCCCATACATCCCCCAATCATTCACAGAAATAGACTGCATGAAAGGCTGTATCCTCACCCCCACAAACCCCACAGATGCCCTCCTCATGAATCCTCCTGTCTTGAAGAACCGCACCTGATGGCAGGATACTATGCAGGAACTAGAACATCACCTCCCGCTCCGGTGGCCGGATGCATAGTCTACACATCCTATCCCAAATATCCCCCCATGCATACATTGGATACACTCCTTCCACAGTCGCCACTTCCCTTTCCCCCACCACTTTCTCTAAAACCCCCACCCTCATGTGTGTCGTATCCCTAACATACAAGAACACCTGCAACATGTCCTCACACACATGCAAATCCTTCCCTCCCCACCATCTTCTGACATCCTCATACAAAAGGTGCAACCCACCACCTTTACACCCCCCCCACTCAGAGAAACCCCCTCTTTACATATACACTCATAATCCTACGCTTTAAATTAATTAACCCCAGCCCGCCTCTGTGCACTGGGAGAGTTACAGCCCCCCTCCGTAACCAATCACATCCCGACCTTCAAATACACCTAAAGACTCTCCTCAATAATACCGCAATATCTGATTGCAACAAAGGGTACATAGCAATCACATGCCAAATTTTACTATATAGTAAGACGTTTACTACAATGACCCTCTGATGAAGCGTTAAATGTCCCAGCCACAAACCATCCAACCGTCTATTCACCCTTTCCATGACACTCCCAGAATTAACCATCCTAGCTTGCTGTGCATCCTGCATATACTCAATCCCACAAATCTTAACCCGATCCACAACACCCCACCTCCCACTACCCTCTCCCCCCACCTTCCCCTCCCAATCCCCCAACCCCATGAACTTAGATTTCTCTACATTCACCCTTATACCAGTCACCTCTCCAAACAGGTCCACAATCCTCCCCACCCCCTCCTAAACCTTCCCCCTCCCGCACAAGAATCGTCGTGTCATCTACATAACCGACAATTCCCGGCACGCCTCGTCCCACCCACCCCTGCCGCTCTCCCCTCACACATACCTCCACCGCTCTATAAAACTGATTCTGCAAACATACAAAAAGTAGTTGGGATAAAGGACATCCCTGCCGCAGACCTCTACCCATAGGGATCCACTCCCCCATCCTTCCATTCACCTGCACCCAAACACCTGCTCTATGATACAATGTTTGTATTCACCTCACAATCTCATCCCCAAACCCTTGTCTCCTCAGTATCCACCACAATGCTTCTCTCTCAACACTATCATATGCAGCCCTCCAATCTAAGGCCAACACCCCCCCCTCCATTCCTTGCACACTCTCCACAAACCCCCGAATCACCCCATGCCCCTCATACATGGTCCTTCCCGGCACCCCATACTGGCCTGCTGCCACCACCCTATTGATCACACACTTCAACCTATTCCCCAATAGGTTGAAGTGTGTGATCGATAATCGGCACACAGTAAAGAAATAACCCTATAGTCCTTCACCGTGCATGGACTGGCCACCTTCGGAACCAAGACTACCACCGCAGTTGCTTGCAAAACCCCCAGCTCACCTTTGTTTTTCATCGCGTTCAACAACCTCACCAAGAACTCCTTAAGTATGTCCCAATTTTGTAAGTAAAACTCACATGGCAGACCGTCGATTCCCGGGGATTTACCTCTACTCATTCCCGATAATGCCTGCCACACCTCCCCTTCGTCAATGTCCCCTCCCAGCGCCATATGGTCCCCCCTGCTGAGAACATTGACCACATGCCTTCCCAACTGCTACAATGCTCCCCCCCCTGCACTCCACCACTCCTCAAAGAAGTCCTGAACCATTCATACACATAACAACCCATCCCTTCTGTCGTACGAAGCACCTGCCCCACACGAAAACCTCCAACCTCCTCCTGCACTAACAAACATCCTATCTCTGTAGCCGCCTGACGTTTCCGCTGCCCCTGCCGAACACACGCCGACGGCCTGTCACCCCACAAAACTTCCTCTAACCTACCCTTAACCCGCACTGCATCAAACTTCTGATTCTGCAATTCCCTGATGCGTTGCTTCAGCCCCTCTATTTCCTCCACAGGATAGCCCCTGCCCCCCACCCCTCTCCCATAACAATCCCTCAACCACCCCTCTAAATATCTTATAAGCCCAAAAGTCATCTGAGCCTCCCCCTTGCCCTGTCTAACATAATACGCCCTAATCCTCCCCTTTGCCACTCCATCCCACCACGCCAACATATCCCCAACAGCTTCCCCTCCCAACCACAACTCCCTCCACAATCGCACAAACCCCTCCCTCCCCCCTCCATCTTCAAG